AAAATCAGAGGCTTATATCCTCAAGTTCACCTTCTTTTCACCACAGTGTCCTTCAAATTTGCGAAGTCCAGTTGAATCGATATCTGTGAAATTTTCTGTAGGGCTTAGAGAAATTGGGAAACATTTTGGCTGAACTTCCTCTGTGCTGCTCCCAGGGTGCAAAACAAGCAAAAAACTGACTTACTCACACCCCTAAACAGAAGATGATCACCAAGCTGTGACACTATTTCCCTTAGCCTAAATTAGTCACTTCTGCCTAACCTGGTTATTCTGAAGTGCCCAGTGAAGATCCAGCAGCTATTATACAGAGAGTTGAAGGTAAAATTCCTTTTTTCCTAAAGCTGAGAGCCAAAACAAGGCAGAGGAATCAATATCCCAAAAGTACTTTCTTCTCCACACTGACTATAAAGACAGTTCAAGTTGACCATCTCAAATGAATAAATGTACAGTGGAGATGTCTAAAGGAAGATAAGTTAAATGCCAGCTGAGGCATCACAGATTAATGAACCCCCATTCCTGATTTTTGTTGCCTTTGGAGGTAGAAGTTGAAAGGAAGAGTGCAGGACTGAATTCCCCCTGGGCACTGTACAGCTGATGAGGAGACGAACTGCTTCCTTCACAGCCTAGATATGATTTATCTAGGACAGAGAAAAATCAGGAAGAATAAACCAAAAAGTAGAGAGATAAAGCAATTATCCCAACAGTTTGTGGGTTCCTCCACCAATGCACTACTGGTGGAATGTGACCTATGAAATTATAAACTTGTTTAATTTCTATGTTTGCTTAGCAGTGATGTGACTGATGTTGTTGTCTTAAACTTTATGAAATACCAAGTGTTTCAGACTGGCACAATAGAACTTAAATTAAACAGATTTTGCCCATTGTGGCTGCTCATCTTGATGCTGTATCCTATGAAATTCTGTGAAGAAGCACAAGAGCATTCACCCCCAATATGCATTTAAATAAGAAAGCTGTCATATACCTGTTTTTCATTTCATATTGTACCCAACTCTGAAATACAATTCATGAAAGAGTCACAGATCTACCTACAAAACATCAGTATTGTAGTTTGGAGACATAAGCATAATTTATTTTTATTCTCCTAGATAGTGAAGCCTAAGGACATGACTAGTCACAAAATATGCTTTTCCAAGAGAAGAAAGTGTATAACTGTTTGGATTTGGTGTGTAAAGTATGCAGAATGCAATGCTTCAAGAATATTACACTGTAAAGAAGGTCAAGGTCAATGCCAGCAGATGTTAATGTCTTCTCCTAGAAAAGGAAGAGTTAGGCATCCCAGATGGCAAAGGCCTTAAAAGGAAGAACTGCAAGAACAAGCGGTTGTCAGTGAGCATTATTTCACTAAAGGCAGAAATACTAATGAGAAGTGAAAGCGGATTTTCCTTTCTTGTAGAGCAGTATCCTGTATTTCAAGTGGTCTGTTAATATTTTCAAATTTTATTTTTGCTTTTTGAGCAGTCTGGATACTCACTGGGAACTTAGACTTGGCATCATGAGCTGAAAGATAATGCTTGGGAAAACTGGGAGACGCAGCAACGTAAGGTTCCTCTTAGGCCTGGCAGCAAGTTGTCTGGTCTGCATTCACTCCAACATCCCACAATAACACAAATTACATCTGTCCCAAAGGATTTAGCTTCATGGGTGCTGTTGTTTTTGAGGAAAGAAGTATTCAAATGACTTTGAGGACCTTGGCTGTTCTGAACATTTAGCAATTTCTAAATGACACCTCATTCATGACATTTAAATTTCATTAGCATTCACACAAGTCACATCTTGGCTATAGGGGTTATGCAGGAAGATTTTAAAGTCTGCCATCAAACACTTTTAGCTGCAGGTCTAGTTAAAGTCAAGTGGTCTAAATGACACCTTTTCTGTGCTCAGTCAGAAGAGTGAATGTGGTCACAGTTCTCTAGGGGTGAGCATCAAGGTGCCAACCCCTAGCACTGGGGAGCCACTCTGAGCTGCAGAATCTGAGCTGAGGGTGCCAGAGGTACCCCAGGGAGCTGCTCCAGAGCCTGCTGGCTTTGCTGAGCACACGGGACAGGGAGGAAAGAACCATCTCCAAACTGGAGGAGAGTGTAACAGAGTAGGGAAGCTCTCCTGGGGAGGGGGAGAGAGAGCAGAGAGGCTGGGCAGCTCTGGGGCATCAAATTCAGTGGGAAGGTTCACTTCAATTCTGTAACAAGAAAACTGTCTCTGCTGATCCCTGCTCTGTTCAGTGCACCAGCATGATATTTAGCTAGTATATTTAGGTTGTATCTTTAGGCTCTGTGCTTAACCAGTAAACAGTAGAAGCTTCCTCCAGGACAAATTTCAGAGCAGGGACTTAACAGAGCTGAGCTGGTGACTTCCCTCAGTCTTTAATCTGGGAAAAACCTCGGGCTACTGTTTTAAAGCTCCCACTGTTCCCAGCTTAGCATAACTCCATTTCCTGCACCATGAAAGCTGAAGTGGTGATATTTCTCTCTCTTGGAGCAGTGTCTACTTTATTAATGTTTTGGAGGTGCAGGTGCTATGGTAACGAGCACCACAGTCAGTGCCTAAAGAGGAATTTACATCGCAAAGATGCTGTCTTTGAGCAGCTTGACACATCTGCTCATGAGCAGCAATCTGATCCTGTGTCAGCCCACAGAAAACTCAGCTGAGCTGCAGCTGGATCAGACAATGCACTTGTGTAGGGATTTCAGAGGTAATCTGAGGCAGAGCCATGTAAAATGCAAGTGAGAATGAGAAAATACCCAGAGGTTTTAGGAGGCAGCAATATTTATTAGGAGCCTGAAGTTATCTATTCTAAGCAAGGCAGTAGGAAAAGCAAAACTTGTGTATAGCACACAGGCAGCAATAAAGGCTCACACCAAACCGAGAGGATTAATGCTCTCCTAATCCTGTCACTCTTCAAGGAATTTTGAAATATTGGCAACTTCTGGTAATCAAATTTTCCCAAGAAACAAAAAAAACAAATAAACAAACAAAACCACTAAACCTTGCCTAGCTTCAGACGACGTTAAGTATGGCAGGAAGAAATCATAAAATCAAATTAAACTTCAGAATAAGCTGTATGAAGCTTTCAAGTCTGCCTTGAGTGGACTGTATTTGCTGAAATCTCTTTGCCACATATAGCCATAAAACTTCATAGTTTTCCTTTTTTAGTAAGCTCCACTGACTTTAACTCATGTGTTTTCTAGAAGAAAAGGAAAGATTTCAAAGCTATGACAAAATATTCTTTGATGCAATTCCAGTAAAGAGAGAAAAAGCCAATGATTATGATAAAAAGAAAACAAAACAATAACCATTGAAAAGAAATTTGGAGCAAAGATATTGAAGGCATAAAATTGGTGGATAAACAAAAAAGAGGAAAAAAAATGGAAACAGAGGGAAGAGAAAAAACATATTTTCAAAATTAAAAGATCCAGAAAAGCAATTAACAAATGCAGTTAAGCAAGAAGCAGAAAACCTGTTCCATCACTTGGCAAAAAGAATAGGTACTCAAAGCTAGTGCTCTGCTGCAATTAGGAAAAAAAATACTAGGAAAGTCTGAATATAAAGAGATCTTTAATTCAATTTTTTCATTAAAAACCTTATGTAAAAATATAGAGGGAAACATTCTTATTTCAAATATTTACACTAAAGAGATGTATTTCACAGAATAGCAACTGTTCATGTATGGAGAATTAGAAGCATAAAGACTTGTGCTAGCTAAAATAAGGAGAACCAAAACATGAAACAGATACAAAAAGACACAGAACCACATGGTTAACTTTACCATCCAGATATTCTCAGTGGTGATGTATAGACAATATGGTAATGTGATTTTTATTGCAGTCCCAGTGGATAAGAGCCCTGTGCAGGAAGGAGGATGCTGTGGAATGCTCAGCTGGTGTGCCACCTGTGCAGCCCCTCAGCTTTAACAGATGGAGTTGGGGGAATTCCGATTATTGAACTGGGAAAGGGGTTGTACACATTTTTTAAGGTATTGCCAAATCCCAGTTTGGATAATTGCAGTGAGTGAAATGTAAATAAAAACTTAAATTGTAACAGTGACAATTTCTTATCTTGAACAGTTAAAGAGGATCCTAGGAAAACCCCCACTTAATATGTGACCAACAGTCGTTGTCAATAAAGAAATTTCACAAATACACTTAAAATTTATCAGATCCCAGTATTTTTAAATCATGTAATTATATTACTGACTTCCTCTCTACAATGAAAATTTATCAGTCCAGGTATCATTTAAATATCTAGAATGTAAAGTGATCTAAAGTGCTTTCCCTCTACCACCAGCTGTATTTAGAGATAGAAAGAATAGGAATTGATATGAAACATTATTTAGACGGATGGAATGGCCTGGCACCGCTTTTGGATACACAGAACATATCATCTGAAGTTTCTGGATGCTTTTAATCACTCATGGACCTACCTGTTCCTGCTCTGGGAAACAGAAGAAAGCAGCATTTTCTGAAGGCACTTCAGCAGCCTGAGGATCTCAGCTGCCCTCTGAGGATACCTGTCCCTTTTCATTCCCAGGGAGGTAGTTTGGAACAACAACAGGAACAAAAGCATGCATGGACAAATCTGAGCTTTGAGCAAAAGGAGCAAAACTCCTTCTCTGTGGTTGCTGCAAAGTCTGTGTGGTCCCTGAATGTTGGATCATGACAAATGGGAGGCCTGACACATTTAGAATGAGTTGGCAATCAACCTTTGTGTGTATAACTTTTCAATAGGCATGTAGCCATAGGGAGTGCTCAAGATAAATAATGACATATTTGTGGGTGCAGTGCCCTGGGGGGCTCTACATTGACCCAAGGGCAACTTTTAATTGGGATGAACCTATTCCTCCTTTGTCTTGAAACAAGGACTCTGTTTGTCTTCTCTGAGGCCCTCACACTCTTGTGTTCTGTAGTTTAACAATAGCCCTTACTGTTGAGGGTTTACTATGTCATAGTTTGGCCATGGTAAAAACTGGAATGCATAATCCACTACAGCCAGTTGTTTCACTCTACAGTGCCAAAACAAAGCTTGGATTGTGGTCAGAGTAAAGACTCAGACCTGGATACGTTCTCAGACCAGAGTAAGTGCCCGTGTAAGCAAACAGGAGATATGCACTTAGCATTTTGGAAATCTGGGGCAGAGGGCAGGAGAAAAAATTGATTCATTCTGTGTTCCTCTTGATCATCCCTTCTCTGTTTCTTCTTGTTTTGTTTGTCTTTCCATATGTTTTGGCATAAGAGTAAACCAATTTCCCTTCCTAGGCCCTCAAGAGGGAACATCTTCTCCCTGACAAAGAGAACCAACTCAGCCTGGGCATATTCCAGCAATTTCCAATTAATGTTGAAGTTCCAATTAATGTTGGAATTCCAATTAACATTTCCAGATGGAGATAAGGGATCTGAATAAACATGTGAACATGTTGCTTTTCATTGCAATTCACAATTAAGCTTCTTAATAATGTTCATGAAGAAATTTTGGTGGGAGTGGAAGACAGTGAGATAGTACCTGTTAGAAAAAGGAAATTGGCTGCAGAATGGAGTGCAATGCTCCATTCAAAGTAGATCTCATTTTGCCAAAGCCATTTTTCATTTTTTCATATCCATTCCTGCCTTTAACCACTCATTTCTTCCCCCTTTTTCTAATGAAATATTACGGCAATAGAGTCAAACCAATATATAGGATTTTTTTTTTGTTTTCAAAGGCAAAACAAGAGCATGCATATTTTCAAGTGACATTCTGCTGTGACTAAAGGATTTGTCATCTGCTGGGGGTGCTAATTAGGGGTAATTTCATTAAGATTTACCTGCCAATATATTTTGTCTTCCAAAATAATATATTTGTTTACTTTGGGAATCTCACAGCTTTGTGGATATAAAGACACTGGGAATGAGGGTAAGATGTGGCAGCTCTCTGCTCAGGATGGCACTGTCAGTAACACTTGCCTTTATCACTTATCTTTGAACAGGACTGTGAAAATTCCAAAAGCCTTTCAGCAGTTTTAAAAAATAAAAATGGGAAGAAAGCAGAGCTAAGAAAAACAAATTATCTGAATATCTGAGCAGAGAGAGTAGACTGTGGAGATTCCAGAGCGTGGCCAAATTACATCACTATTAACTGTGGCAGGATCCCAAAAGCAACAAAACCAACCAGACAAAATTCACTAGATTCAATAAAAGGGAAGAAATTAAGTGGTCACAAAACATGCTTTGCACTCATCGATATTTGAGCATGTATATCTCCATATGTTAAGAAGACTTCCAGCTCTTGCATTTTTGGTATTTCTCTAGATGAATTCAATCCCATACCACACTGGAAAAGGAGCTTACCAAACACACTGAGACAAAACGTTTGCAGCAAGGAAATAGCAAGGCTTTGTCGCTGCACTGAGACATAAATAAGCAAGGCTAAAACCACAGAAGCTGTATATTTTTCCTAGCTTGCCATCATGTATTTTTAGATGTAGACGTGCCATCACTCCATTTTTAGATGTCTTCCACCTCATGGAATTCACATGATTCCATTAGACTCCAAGGCTATCACTGTAGGTCAGGAAGAATCAAACATCTTAGAGTGAGATCCACAAGATCTATCTTGCTTCAGTTTTCCAGAAGGATGTGATCATTCCTCCTAACGGGTGTCAAACTGAGACAGCGTCACAGCTCTCCAAATGAAGGAGTTTATCTTGGGGTTTCAGGGAGGGACTTTCCACAGTCACTCTGCACCTTTTCCTAAAGCACAGGAGAATGTGTACAGGAAGTTCATCTTCCTTTATCCAATATGACACTTTATCTATGAGACTGAAAAAACAGTAGTCTAGTTGTACACTCCTTGTTCTACAAAAAAAATGGAGGGATGATAAACTGAGAGTGTTCCACTCTCAATGACAATCTGGATCCAGTCTCTCCTTTGCACCCCTGCTGTGTCAATTCATCTCCTACTCACTAGAGGGTGGATGTCATCACTGGACTGTAGTGACACTTGGCATGCATTAGATATGAGATTCTTCTGCCTTAGTGTGGATGTTTAGAAAAAACACAAGGGACCCAGTCAGCCCAAGCTCCCATTAGTGTTAAAAGGAAACAGAGTAGTGGATCTCAGGTGCCACCTCATCTTAAGGTGGATGCATAAAACAGATTCACTAAAATCACATCCTGAAAATACCTATTTCTTCCAATTGACTGAGGATGACCCTCATGAGCTCTGATGGATTTATTCATGTGGGAACAATATCTCTAAAGTATCACATTTTTTTACTGTAGATCCATAGTTTCACAAGCAAAATATTCTTGAGAACTGACCTCAGACTCACAGAGAGTACAACTTTCTCAAGTCTGTTTTTTGTTCTCCCACACAAGAAGGTATTTTTGTAAGGAACTGACTATGTGAATTTGAGAGTTTCTGAATAAATAGTTCACAGTTTGATATTTTGGAGAGAGTTAATCTCACTAAGAGAACCCTTTATTGCCTGTTCACAATAGCAGGGTGGGAGATTTTCCTATCCAAAGACTCAGTGCACTCTACTACATATTAAAATATGTATGTATCCCATGCAAGAAGAGAACAGTAGTCATATTTTAATGGTAAAGTGTGTGAAACAGAAAACAGTTATAAAACTTGAGCAGAGTCACAGTGTCAACAGTGAGTGGGCAGAGACAAGCAGGCACTAGAACCCTCTGGCGTTTATGAACTCAAAACTTCTTCCTCCTGTTGATCAAGGAAGTCGGGGGCTTTTGTCATTGTAACTGAGCTCTTTTAAATGCCTTGCAAGTCAGGAACAGAGAAGCAATTCCTTAGAAACATGACTCTATTTCTTTTCTGTTATAAAAAATCTACCCACATTCTTCAGAAGCAGGACAACTTGTCCAATGCTGTTTGCATCACCATGGAGTGCTTGGCAGCCATCAGCATTTTGGAAGCACCTCAGCAATGTACATTTGGAAACACTTTCCACCACAGGTTTTCTCTTTCATGTATATTCTTGTCATTTGATATATACTGGAATATCAAAAGATGTGAAATAACTCATCCAAAGATGATACTGCTACCTTTAATTTATCCTTTACACTGAATCCCAGAAGAGCAACTTGAAGAAAAAATGTGGAGGTGTCAGGTTATTAAAGCATATTGTCTTTCAAACTGTTTTTCCTCTCTTTTGCAATTTGCAAATCCTGTTAATAAAGGAGGTATTAAAAGCAGTCAGTCTGATTTCCTGAAGAGTAAGATATTAATTATTCAGATCAAACTCCTTGAAGAACAGATGAGGTCAGACAGAAACAAGTGCAAGGGGAAGAAGAACTAAATGTGTCAAGGCAACGTGCAGAAAATGAGGATGCCTGTATTTCTGAAGGCAAATGAAGTGATGTCTTCAGTAAGAGAGGTGGGACACTGACCCCACAAATGCCTTCCCTGCCCTACCCCCAGGTTATCTGATGGGCTTTCTTACCTGGAATCGTGGGAAGTGACACATGTCATACACATCAAATTCCTCCATGCTCCTGCTTTATGTACTAAACCTATTTGAAGTCGTTTGATACATGCCATCAACTCTAATAGCCCAAGGAATTTGGGTTTCATTGTCCTGTAAGTGCTCTTTGCCTTTTCTACCTCTTTTTATGATGCTTCATTTTAAAGCACCTCAAATAGTCTATGAATTAAGCAAACTCATCTTATTAGAAGAGTCTCCAGGGTGCCTTCAGTACTTCAGCTTCTAACTTCAGACCCTGGACACAATCAATGAATGAATCAATAATAATCAATGCACAGAGCATTTCAGCAGGATTAATGACTGGCTGGGAGGTGCTGATGGGCAGAAATTAAGTCAAGGGCCATTAATCCCAGCTGGTCATTTGGCTCCAGGCAGTGCTTTGTGCCAAGGTCATTACTGCTATTCTAAGAAAAAAGTGAAAGGAAGCTGATGTCGGCACATGGATATTTTTAACCTGGCTTTTGCAGAGTCAGTGGCTCCTTATGACTCTTTCTATTAAATGTGAACCCCCTTCCAACAGGCACTTCCATTGCAGAATGTGTCCCAGCAGCATTTTCTCCATTTAGTGAATCAGCAGGTGTTTTCAACCACCTACAGGTTGCATAGAGATGTCCTAGGGTTTATGGAGCCTGGCAGATCACCATCTCCTGCAGTGAGGATTTAGTCACTTCCTCTTGACTCTCAGCTGTGGGTAGGATAGCTTCTGCATGGGCCAAATTCTAAGAATTGTGTCAGCCACATATCATGTCTACCTGGCCCTCAGAAAATCCTGTCAGCTCAAGTCAAAGAGGGATCACAGAAGGGAAAGGACTTCTAAAGTTCTTCTTGGATAAGCCCCAGGATGTTAATCTATCCACACAGATACACACAAGCAGATGGGGTGACTTTAGATCTATAAACTTAGAATCATATAATGGTTTGGGTTGGAAGAGATCAAAGTTCATTGAGTCCCAACCTTCCTGCCATGGGCAGGGACACCTTCTGCTAGACCAGGTTGCTCAAAACCCCCATCCAACCTGGCCTTGAATAGTGCCAGAGATGGGGCTCTGATAAACCTGTTTCAGTTCCCCACCACCCTCAAAGTAAAAAAAAAAAAATTATTCATAACTTCTCATCCAAACTCTATGAGTTCAAAGCCATTGTCCCTTGTTCTATGATTAAATGCTCTTGTTAAAAGTCCCTCTCTAGTTCCCTTGCAGACCCTTTAGGTACTGCAAAGCTCCCATAAACAGTATATAACTTTCCCAAAGTATCTTCAATATTACTGACCCATGATGTATGGCAGACATACTGTGTCTACAAGGAGTTGTAAGAGCAAACATTAGAGTCAGGGCCATGCCTGTTGATCAGCTATGCCAACTGCTAAAAGGTTGTCAGACACAGTTTGGCAAACCCACCTGCTGTGCCCCAGAACATTTTGTTCTCCAAAGCATTCCAAAACCTTCCAGTGAGTATCCTGAGTGTGAATTCCTAAGGCTCAAAGCCTGTCCCTCACTCCTGTGCTTGCAGACTGTGTAGCTGGAGCTATAACAAGACCAAGTGGACAGTCCAAGTCAGGTTCCTTCACATCAGGATGCAGCTGTTTCCTTTTGCAAGGAACACATATTGTGGATGTCTCTGTATTGCTCTTGGTTGGTCACAGTGAGAAAGGAGCTAGGCAGTCCTAATCATGCTAAATCATAATGTTATGGCTAACTGGAGATTGCCTTGTTTTACTTGCTGTAAAACACACTGAGGTGCATTCAAAACACTGCTCAGAATTTCTCCCCTTTTCAGGCTTTTATGTCAATCAAACAGGACACCAAATAAATTGAAGTTCCCCTCTGTTCCTCCATGCAAAAGCAACATGCAGCTAAAAATGATAAAGTCTGAGCCTCTCCATGTGCTGCACCACCCCACAGGTGGACTAATTTTCCTGTTAAAATGCAAATATGAAAGATAAAAAAATGTCTTGAATGGACATGGATCTTTTGAAGGTAAAGATACTAGATGAAAATACCTGAGACAGCATGTACTATTTTCTGATTACTGGGAAAGTTTAGCAGTGGTATTACTTGCTTTCCAGGAATTTTGGAAAATTCGTATCCCAGGGAACACAGTCTACAAATTCCAGTAAAAATAGAAAGAGCAGAGAACATTTGGCTCGAGACAAGGTGAAAAATCCCATGAGGGGAGGAATTTTTCTTTATTTCATTTGGGCAGAAGAAGAAAAAAGCAGATGAAGCTTGTATTCAGTATAAACATAATGTCAGTAGCAGTAGTCTACAGACTGGAATCCCTCCATGTGCTGTGTGAATAGTAGTTACTTTCTGTGTGTAATTTGATGTAATCCAGTTTTTGCTAAACAAAAAACACCTGGGAAAACTGGTTCCTGTTCACTTTCTGTAGGCATTTAATGATTTATAGATATTGCCTACATACCTCTTATGGTCTGTCATAGGATGGGGTCAGAAAGAACTATATACATGTTTATTTTTCTCTATAGCAGAACAAATTTTCTGTTGAAACATTAACAAGGCAAGCTGTGTGTTGAAAGAGAAGCTGATCAGGTGCTATTTTAATGCTTGAAGAAAATTAATTGTTGGCAAATAAAGCAGTTTTCTGCACACAGTTTGTGTCATATTGTTTAATGAAACTAAGAGAAAAAATAATGGCTCACTTAATGACTTAAAATCCTGAGGAAATCGTGCAGATCTAGATAGAAATCTGGATACTGTGGGCTAGAAAATGTGACTTGTAGTTTTAAAAGAAGCAATGACAGTCTAGTGTTGGCCTAATTATCTTCACTAATAACTAAATCATTCTCAGCCTATGGCTACAGATATACTGTAAGATGTTCCTGGTGTGATTTAGAAGTTGGTGTTAATTCAATTAGCAAATTGCTACCTCACCCTGTACAGGCCCATATTTAGGTACAAAGTGCAACTCTGCAAGGTACCCTGGGTTTTCTCCCAGCTCCACCTCCAGGGTTTAAGCCCAAGGTGTATCTGTGGCATATTCAGTGAGATGTGGTGTTCTGGGGGCTTTCTGGAGTGCCAGCTGCACTGCAGGTCCTGCTCTCGTTGGTCCTGTCAGCTCACACAAACCCAGCCAGTGCTGCAAGCAGCATCCTGCTCCAGAGGAAATCCAGCGTGTTTCCTGGGATACGTGTCTGGAGTCAGAGAGACTTCAGAAGGAGAGCTAGAGAGAAGGAGAGTTCCAGAAGAAGCTAAATGAGAAAGAAACCCAAAGAAAGTGGTGCAGGGGTGACTCTGCAGCTGCCATCCGAGGAGTCCCGGGGTGAATTCAGTGCCAGTGTTGTCATTTACCTCAGCTGCACATCTGTGGTTGTGCTGCCTGGCTTCTTTCACTCCTCTTGCAATTACAGGCTGCTGAGCTGCTCCTGCCTGTCAAATCACTTCAACCCAGGGCTCAGAAGGCTCTCAGTCCATGATGGGAGCAATGCCCATGCCCAAGCCTCCTTGCCACTGCTGTGCTCACTCCTGGGAGCAGGAGTCCTTTCACCAGGGGGTGGAAGGAGAAGTGGCAAGTGGCCAAGCTAGACTTCCAGACTGCATGGAAGCAAGGCTTTGCAGCAAGGGAGGAAAAGCTGAAACAGTCAGTCAGGAAACAATGTCTAGCAGCTCAAAATACAGTTAAAATATCAGCCTGGAATGATTTCTTACCTCACAAATATTTGAAATTGGTTCCCAGGAGGGCAGATATGAGATATCTTGTGTTGTTTCTGACGAGATAGTAACTCTGTTCCTGGTTGAATAAACTGTGTTTGCTTAGAGAGAGAGAGAGAAAAGAGACTTTTAAATCCAAAGCTGTAATTAAATGTGCAGTAATTCTGAGAGTATTCATCCTGGTAAATATTATTGACATTTCCTTTCTGCTTCTTCCAGCGGAAACAAATTATTAATACCCCATTGTTGCAATAATGAGTTCTTGATAGACATAGATTTGATTTTTTTTTTTTCTTGTATTGCTTTAGCACTAAATCAGTTCTCACAAGTGAAAAATAGAGATCATTTTGTTTTGGCATCAGTGGCGGTGACAGAGAGAGGAGCACAGCATGGGAACCCCATGAAAAGCATGGCAAGGCTGTTCTGGAATCAAGGAATAAAAGGCACCAGTGCCAGTTGCCACCTTCCAGTCGCTGGAATGGGATGATCTGGGTAAGCAGTAACTGAGAACCTGACCCAAGCCACTAATGATACAGAAACCAGCTCCTAAAATATTTCCTTTCCTACTCCAGGTAGTTGGGTAGACTTGGAGTTCCAGTTCTAACTTGGAATTCCTGAACCTACTGCCTCTATGGTGCTGTTCTACACCCAGCCACTAATCTGTCCCCTGAGCAGTTACAGGCTTCCTTTCTCCTTTACTTTAAGGTCAGTGGGTTTTCTTTTTTCAATTTTCTAGATACAGATACTTTAGAACATTTAGCAAAGGACTCTAGAAAACTGGACAACTACTAAATTATAATGCTCAGCCTCTCTCCAGTTTACCACTAATTAAATGTCCTTAGGATGCACTGGGACAATTATAATAATTGATGGGTTTTTAAAAGGAGCTGAGTTGAAAATACTTTTCTGCTGGAACATGCATCATTGTGGAGCTGGAAAATGAAAGGAAATAATGTGATAATATTTTGTCGTACAAGAATATAGAAAATAAAAATGTCTCAAATAAAAAATAGAAAATTCAGCAGTTTGATCTAAGCAGCACTAATCATACCAGTAATGAAATGGCACTTTTTTTGTTGTTTTGAAAATTATTTCATTTTATGGACAAGCATGACTTATAGAGAGAATTAATGTCTTTTATTACATCGGATGATGCAGGTGGAAAAAAAAAAAATCTCATAAGCATGTAGTCCTTCCTTTTCTTATAAAAATATAACATAGCAAAAGAAATGTTATGTCAAAATGCAAACAGATTGCTCCCATTTTTTTGGAAAGAAGTCATTCAAAATCAGCTGAATTCTCCTATAGCCCCATTGTCTTCATTGCTGCTTTGGAATGGAAATAAGTGTTACCTGTGCAAAAAAAAAAAAAAAAAAAAAGGTTTTTCAATTCAGCCATACCAGTATATTAGGGATGAAAAAGTTCCAGACACCAGATCTGGATCAAAATGGAACTCTGTGCCTGGCCACTGAGCTGTCTGCCAGCAGAGCAGCCTCCTTGTACTTTGATCCATTGATTAGGATGTTGGCAACCAAGGTCAGATGTCCCAGCTGAAGTCCAGCCCCCAAGAGTGCCCTTAACACGGTGGCTGTGCCCTTAACACGGTGGCTGTGCCCTCCTGGGGGCTGATGGAGAGGGTGCCAAACGTGCCTTGGCACAACACCCACCCTGACACCTTCCCAGGCTGGTCACATCGGTGCCTCCCTCCTTCTGCCCTGGAGCAGGGCTCTCCTCAGCTGCTTGGGAGTGTTTACACTTCCCTGTGAACACAGTCCCCCAGTGTTTATCTACACTCAGAAATAAAGGCAAGCAAATAAAAAAGAGGCTGGGACTGTTTCCCATCTGCTCTGCCCCAGAGCACTGAGCATCCTGCGTGCAGCACAGCTGAGACCGGCTGCTCCTGCTCCTCTCTGCTGGGAACAGCCTGCCTTGCAAGGGCTTCAAGCTGTTTTAGGAGCTGCTACCCACACCACACAGAAATACAAAGCCCTTTGTGCCTAATTTACCACTGTGCCTGGCTTTGAAGAAAAGTGGGATGTGGAGACTTTTGCATAAGGCAATGCATTGTTTTCTTTTATCATTTTCTTTATTGTGTGCAGGTTGATTTGAGGCACTTCTGGAACTTAAAAATCCCAAGAAAGAACTTATTGCTCATTTTCACTATCTCTAATTAGCAACTTCCTTGGAGAAAAAAAGGAAAAAGTAAAGAAGCTTGGAAACTACTTCCCAGTGCACTGGAGATTTGTTGGACACAGATAGACATCACCACTTGGCTGCTATAAAGCTGCATTTATTGACTCTTATTTCCTCTTTAGTCCAGGCTCCTTTAGGGCACCTTGGAAATAGCTGGGGCTGTAGGAGAGAACGCAGAGCTACTTGGAAAATGATTTGCTGGCCATGCTGCCCTGTAGGACCACTCCCCAAGCTGATCTTCCTCCTTTTCCAAGTCATTGTCCATTGCTCTCCTGATGCCATGGGAAGCAAGAAATAACAGCACAAACTTGCCCTGATTTGAAACCCCTTCTGTTGAAGGCAAATTGAAACTCTGTTCCATGATGTCTTGGCTCCTTTGGATGGACCATCTCTTACTGTGTTTCTTTCCATGTGTTTTGAAAGCTTTCCCCAGATATGCCAGAATATATCAGAAATAATTACTAGTTTTAAAGTGATGCATATTTTGGATATGAGCAATTCAATGTTCAAACTCTATCCCACAGCTTTCCTCCAGAAGCAGATGACAAAATGCAGCACGAAGGCACTGCAGGATCCTGCTCCCATGGGTCTGGTGGGCCTCCTAATGAGCAAGGAAAATTGCTGAGAATGAGATTTTGGTAGCTAAGCCTGTCTTAGTGCTGGTGAGTATCTGTAGACCCAACAGTGTAGAGTGCCCTGTCATGCAGAGGTGTTGTTACATTTGCATGCAGTCTGTAATGTTATTTACATCTGAAAACTCAACTGCAAATTATTTCTGGCTGCTGTCTCTGCTTTAGGGGAACACATGGATGCCTTTCCTTGCCCACAATATTAAACCATAGTCAGGGAGTGGGCAGTGCAAATGTGTTTGGCTCTCATCTCGAGGTCCACATGGTTCATGGCATCTTAAGTGACATGATGAGCCTCCCTGCCATAGGGAATGCAGCAGATATTGTTTGACTAACCTGGGGGCTTAGAAAGAGAACAAAGTACCCTGATGGGAAGAAGCAGGAGAGACATAGAAGCATCAGGATATTTCTGTGTAGAAGAGATGGGGACTGCACTTGAAGAAAAAGCTGGTACATAAAGGAAAGGAACTTATAGCACAGTTTTCACGAATTGAAGACATAATGGTCCATCCAGGGAGGTACACTTGAGACCCTCCCTTATTCTGCCATATGGTGATAATATGAAGGAAAACAGATGTTACAAATGTGGGTGATAGTATTCCTACTGCTGTGTGGAGATATACAGCTTCTTGTTCTCTGAGACAACTGGTGAGGGTAACACTCAGCAGGCTTTGCTGGAGCAGACCCACCACACTCATGAGCAGAGCCAGAAAATTTCTTTATTCCTAGTCCAAGCTTCAAATCAGGAGACACTAGAGAGAACACAGGTGTGTGATATCCTCTCATCCACAGCACATCAGAAATTTTAATGCATAACCTAAGGTGCCTGCTATGTGATAGAGAGAAAAATAGTGTAGGCTAGGCTTCACTGAAAAAAACCCACATTTTTAATATGTTGGGTCTGTTTATCTTTACTTAAAAAGAATAAAACCTCACAGATAATGCAGACTACCTGCCTGTAAAGAGTATTTTGTGCCTAATTAATTTTATGTATGGACACGAGCGGCTTTATCTGCTAGATTAGGTATCAGTTCTAAAGTAACGTTACTTGCTTGCAGCTTGGGGCACAGGGCACCATTTTATTAGCCATTTTAGATTGCTTGTTTCATTTTTTTTATACTTCAATAAAACTTCTGGCATAGTTGCCATTTTCCCTTCTGTCATAGTTGAACAGACAACAATGTAAAGTTTTCAAGCAAAAACCCTGGAGGTTTTACTGAGCTCCCAAAGATGAACAAAAGCAATGAGCACAGTCAAACCTGTCAACAGAAGTTGTTTTGTTTCAATGATCACTCCACCATGTAGAATTCTTGCCACATAACAAACTCAAAAGCAGCATCTCCCAGAGACTCTCTCTGACTCCTCCAAGTACCCTAGGAGAGGTGGAAGATTAATGGTTTGTACCTTGCCCCTAAAGAGAGACAGATGGTTACCTGGATGGAACCACAGAAGGCACTGACAGCCAAAAATCTTCCTTCCTGCAGCCATCCTACAGTCTCTGTGCCAATACCCTTGTGAGGATAAGCCAAACCCTGTCACTCACTGAAAGGACTGAACAGCTCAATAACAGCTTTTACTTAAACTCCAATACATGGAAAAAAATGTGCATAGAAGATTCCAAAAAGGTGAGACCAGAGGAGGCACTCCTTGCATCCAAGCTCAGCAACAATCCTCTCAGAAACACACTCAAACTGCTCAACAAACTGATCAAGGAAAGAGCTTTGACATCAATGGAGCTTAAGGGCATGGGCTGAAACTGAGCTCCAAATGCTCATCTCTGAATTGAGGATGATGGGGTAGTTTAGGAAGCAATATGAGCTTGAAAATGATACACGATATGATATAGACTTAACCTAAGAAAACCAGAAGAGCAGCAGAACTCCCACTGTATACAAATTACTGGCACTATATATGCCAAAGTATGACCTCCAGCTAGGATATAATAACCAGCTTTCATGAACAGCACTCATTATATTGTGTCCATTATAAAACTGCAGCTACATGACAGTGCCATAGGCTATAATGTTCTCACTTAGAAGAATTTCAATTTTCTTCCAAGAGACAATGTCTTCCTTTTTCAGGCCTATTTTGTTCATCCTGGACTCATTTTTATTTTATAGGGTGGGATGTGGGGTATATTTTTGTGGGGTTTTTTTTTTTCCTAAAGCAACAAAGGAACTGCACTCAAAAAATCTGTCTTGATTTGGGAGGCATAGCAAAGCAAGGATTCAACCAGTGTAAATCAGAATGATGAACCCCAGATGAGGACTTTTTCCAGACAACTATAAATCTGATAGATCAAAGTGTTTGTCAATGACCAAAAATATCTCACAGAACTGGCCTGGCTGGCCCTCTGTTGACACAACAGAAAGATATTGCTAAATCAGCAAGAAACCTTGGATTTGTTGTGTGATGACTTAAAAGAGGTTTTCTCAGTTATTCTCTCAGCTTTTCTTCCTGAGTAATGAGTGTGAGATAACTCAAGGAGAACAAGTATCTGGCTAAGGAGAGGGGGAAACACCTGTGGGATTTTGGATAAAATACTGAATGGCACAGGCAGAGCCAGGCAGTCTGGAAGAATTTATCAGCTGTGAGCTACTGCACTTCATCTGCTCCAACACAGCCAGGAAGCCACAAAGATACCTCCACATGCTGCTAGGCCTGTCTTAAGAGAACCTACAGACCTCTACCATATAGAAAGCTACACCTGACAAAGTCTTCCTCAGCACCCTTCATTCAGTGGTGTGGAGAGGGAGATCAGGGAGAGCAGGATGCCACTCATCTAATCCTGCAATACCTAAAAACAGCTGGGAAGAACAGCTTCTCCCCACTGAAAGGAGCAAACTCCAACAGTTTTGGTGTTTTCATAAAGGCCTGAGACCTGACAGTCACTGCTCCTAAAGAGATGCCAGTCTGGGGGAGTTCATGGGCTGTGTTTTCCCAGAGGTGTGGGGAGATGCCTGGGGAAGCCTGGCCCCAGAGGGACAGGACAAGCAGGTTTCCACTCCAGGTGCAGGAGCTGTTATCTCTTGGCCCAGGCAGATACAATTAGTCTGTGATACATCTTGCACTGAAGGCGAAGAGCCCTCCTGAGGACTCTCTCTAGGATAATAAAGCTTTCCACACAGCCAGGAAATATTGTCCAAGGCTGCCTTGAGGGCACATTCCTGTGAAACCCAAGGCAGAGTTCACACCAGTCCCTGTCCTCAGTGTCACAGCTCAAAGCCTTGACAGGGATGGTAGCTGTATTAAATCTGAGAACAGATTTCCAGCTCACAGCAGAGGCACCTGCAGCTCCCTGCTCAACCTGGATTCTCTGTGGGGCTGTAGTGGGTCTGTCTGGGCTGGAGTTAACTTTCCCCACAGCAGGAAACCTTCCCTGCTAGTGCTGTGCTCTGTGTTTGTCGCTGGCACAGAGCTGATAACAAACACACCTGTGTTTCAGCTGTTGCTGAATTCCCACAGTATCAAACATTTCTTTCAATTCCTCCCTCAAAGAACATAGGCTGGGTGTGGACAGGACCCACTGTGGGCAGTGACACAGCCAGGACAGCTGACCAAGATGACCAAAAGGCTGTCCCATACCACAGGATGACATGTTCAACAAAAAAATCTTATAGAAAGGGTAAGGGCAGGCCATATGTTATTAAGATATTTGTGTTCTAAAGCAACCACTACACATACTAAGATCTACTTCCCAGAAATTAGCTGAACATCATATGCTGATGGAAAGCAGTGATTTTCATTTTTTTTTTTATATCCTTTGTTTCCATGTGTGGCCTTTGCTTTCTTTCATTAAACTTGAATTGTCTTGACCAACAAGTTTTTCAGTTTATTTTCTCGCCCTGTCCTGCTGAAGAGAGGAACTGAGAGAGGAATTGGGTGGTCACCTGAGACACAAACGAGAGCAATACACCACACAGAAGATGTTGTCAATCAGCGGTGCCAAATCTACACCTAGAAAAAATGGTTGTAAAAAATAAAATAGTCAGTGGTAAATAAGCCCAGCAAAGAATCAAAAAAATCACTACACAGGAAGAAGGAAAGACTAAGGAAGGTGAACTCATCTCCAAATCATCAGTAGTGAAGCCATTAATGGAGAGTTTGTGGTTTCCTGGGTCATTGCTGATTGGAGAGTTGCAAATGTTAATAGAGACAATGCACTGTTGTCTTCTCCTCTCCAGGATGAGAGCCCTCCTCTGACTGCTCGGTGGCCCCACTGTCCTCTCTCTGCCTGGCTTGCAGGACACATCCCCAGATCAGATTTCTCTGTTCTGTCCCATGCCAGTAGCTCTTGCCAAAGTATCCCAGCAACAATCATACAAATTCTGGGGAGTGACAGAGAAATTGTCTCACGTTCCCTGAGTAATACCAGTCCTTTCTTGCAGTCACAGTTTCCAGCTAAACCTTTTTTAGTCAGTCTCTACTTTTCTTTAAAGCCCACTGTCACCAATGCAATTCAGTTTTTCTGATTAGGCTCTCTGCCTGTCTGTGTGATTTGTACTAAAAACCTCTGAACCTGCTGACCAAAAATATTGACAGATGTCAGAGCTGTGAACATCTAACACTTTATGAAAACCCTGTCAACCCTTCCAGTGAGAAAATCTTGGCATGAAGCTAACTTTAATGAGTAAATGCCTCAAAAAGCTTTGCTAGGCCACTGCTGGGTTTTTATTCCACTCAAGTCATCTCCTTCATTGCAACACATTTGGGTAGGATTTTTTTTTCCCCACTGAGCTAAGATCTTGCTTGTGCAAGTAACAGTGTGAAAACATTAGGGAATTTTCATGATGGCAAGCTTGTGGAAGAAGGAGACCCCAAAGATACCCCATACTCTCTACAGGTGATATCAGAGAGGTAGAGGATTATATTATCATTTTTGGCTGGTCTACCCATCTCCTTCATGCAGGAACATTTTATTTACAGCCTAGGTGAGATGGCAGACCTTTAGCATATGGTTGACCACTAGGATTCATGGCTGATTCATAACACAAGATGAAATTAAAAACCATTGCCAGAGTTCCTGA